GGCTCGCGACACGCCACTCAGTGGTCATCTCGGTCGTGAGAAAACGTACAACTCTGTGTTCACCACTCTTGGTGGCCCAAGTTGTACAAATGGACAAGCACATATGTGCGCACGTGTGAGACGTGTCAATAGGTAAAACCCTCTTCAAATGTGGCTGCACCGCTGGCCAGCTTACCAGTACCCAATGGGTGCTGGCAGGCCATGAGTTCGGACTTTGTGCTTGCCTGCCGAAAGATTCGGCGGGCAACACGGGGGTCGTGTTATTCGTAGACCGGTTGAGCAATATGGCTCATTAGGCGGCGGTGCCAGACACCATCGACGGAGTCCGTCAGCAACGCTGTTTGTAAATCGTGTTTTTCGACGACACGGACTCCGACCCCCGTTTCACGGAAAAATTTTGGTCGACTATCTTTAAGGTGCTCGGCACCAAGTAAGATATGTCGACGGTGGGTCATCTGCGGGCCGATGGTCAAACAGAAGGGTGAATCGCGTCATCGAAGGTGTTTTTCGCAGCGTTTGCGCTGAGACGCCAAGGCATTGGAGCGCCATGCTGCCACTCGTAGAGTTTGCACCGAACAGTGCAGTGCATTCGTCTACCGGCTACACGCCATTCTATGTGAACGGGCTGATTCATCCTCGCGTCCCGCTGACGCCACCATCCCATGGCTCAGGACTTGGTGGGGGAGGAACAGCCGAACGGCTTGCTGATGTCAGCCCCTCACCATTGACTTCTTGTCTACCAGACTGAGTGCCCTACGACACGTTCGCGATGCGATGGCTGAAAGCCAAGACCTGCAAAAAGCATATGCAGATGAAAAAAGAAGAGGCAAAGTTGAAAGCGTTAAAGTCGGAGACCTGGTTTTGATAAACTCTAAAAGCCTTCCTACACATGCAGCCTCTGCTATCTTTCGGACGAAGCTTCGTCCACGGTTTATTGGACCGTTTAAGGTTGGGGCCAAGCGGAACCTAGCGCATACGCTAAGCCTTCCCAAATGAATGCGCACCCACCCGGTGTTTATCGTGGGTTTGCTCAAGCCGTATCGGGATCCGGCGCATGTGAACGTGGAAGATTGCGCCAGAGCGGATCCCACGGGCCCTCGGCCACCCAGAAGCTGAACCAGCAACTAGTTCTGAGCACGGAGTGCAACAACCTCCATTTTTTTCTAATAGCGCCAAGCGCTCCACCGTCGCATGCCGCGACGCATTCGCCTGCTCCACGGCTAGGATTCGCTCCGACAGAGCGCGGTAGTCCTCAAGGTGAGGCAGCCGGCGCAAGTCGTGCTTTGAATCTTCAAGAGCGTCCGCACAGCGATATGTTACTTCAGCATGGCGCTCAGCGGAGCTCCGATCAAGAAGGACCTTGTCCTCAAGGGCTCGAAGAGTAGTTCGAGTAACTGGACGGCGGTCGACCCT